TCTCTCTCTCTCTCTCTCTCTCTCTTCTTCTTCTTCTTCTTCTTCTTCTTCTTCTTCTTCTTCTTCTTCTTTTCATTGGTTCTTGGCAATCTAATCTTTTCTTTTCTTCCACCCACACGTGGTGTTCTCTTCTTGCAGAAAATGGAGATGAACAAAATTCGTGATGAATTGAATGAGAAGATATCAGAAGTAAGATGATTACAAATAGAATTGACTAGAAGGGAGAATGCAGAAACAGATGACATTGCAGATGGTTTAAAAAGTGTGATTGCAACCCTGGAGAAGGAGAACAATAATCTTAAGGTTTATACTTATCATTATTATATATTTGCTAGTATGTTGCACATGTGTTCTAAAATTTATAGGCTTCTATTTTTAGATACTGGATTTATAAAGCTCTATTACAATATTAGCAATGTTGCTCCTTGAGCCTGCTTTAATGTTATCTTATCTAATTTGTGCTTTTGGGCTTTTCATTGCCTATTAACAATACAAAAATGATTATCCTCCTTATATTTGGATTGGCTAAGTGGGCATTCAATTCTTTCGTGGTTTTCTTGCCTTAGCCTTGTTATTTCTTTGCATGTACTTTAAAGAATTGTATATTGTTCAAGTTAATTCTGGTAAGTCTATTTGCAATTGTTGCCACTTTGTTGTTTTGAGTTTAGAACCTTTCATGCTGTTACTGCAATGGACAATGGTGAAATTTTATAGTCGAGTTACTGCAATCAACTAGTCTGTTTGACATTTTTACATCATGTACTTTCAGTTGGCATTTTGGTTTTTTACTTTCATACTATTTCTATCTACTGTGCATATGTAGTTTTGAGTGTTTCAATTATTATATGATATACTTATTCAGTTTTCATTTTATTTTTCACATTCATACAGTTATTATCTATGCATTTCTAGTTTTGAGGGCTGAATCTTGGCTAAATGAACTACTACCCGAATCAATGTTTTTCCATCATGTTATTGTTATTGCTGTTAGGTTTTTTTCTCTGTCAAGGCACGAAAAGGACAAATCACAGCTCATTTATATGACAAAGAGTCTTGAATTTTGTTCACAAATAGTATATAATTTTTTAACATCATGCAGGTGGATTCTGTAGTTTACCTTGTTGACGCGTACGACAAAGAGAGATTTGCATAGGCCAAAAAGGAGCTGGATGCCCTCCTCTCAGATGATTCACTTGCGAATGTCCCGTTTCTCATACTTGGGAACAAGATTGGCATACCCTAATGCTGCCTCAGAGGATGAGTTGAGATATTACTTGGGTTTGACTGGTGTTACTACTGGTAAGGGTAATGTTGACCTCGCTAACTCAAATGTCCGTCCTATTGAGGTTTTCATGTGCAGTATCGTGCACAAGATGGGATATGGCGATGGCTTTAAGTGGCTTTCCCAATACATTAAGTAGGAGAATCGGAGAATGGAAGAAGCAAGCGAATGTGCGAAGCCATCTAAGGGTAACTTTCATGCCACTGCTGCATGAATGTATATATTGGGAATGTAAAGTTTAGTATGTAGCTTTTACCTTGTTATCTTGCAGACAGTTTTGCTATTTTTTTGGTAGGGAAGGTTAAGTTGATTATGTTCTCTCTCTGTGTCTGTCTCTCTTTGTACTTGACACGATTGTAAAGAAATAAAGTTGTGTTGTAATGTTTATGATTGCTGGGGAAATGTTCCGATCTTTTGCATTCCATGGCAACTGAGAGTGTGAAATGTTGTACTTTTGTCCCAAATTCCCAATAATTTTTACTAATCAAAGCCCCAAAACTAATAAGGGCACTCGTGCCCCAGTAAGTTATACTTTTGCCGACTAAATAAAGTAGTCGGTGTATCACCAAGCACATTTGGCAACTAAATAATTAGTCGTTAAAATTATTAATTTTGGCAACTAAAGGATTTGGTCACGAATAGGTCTATTGCTGACTAAAGTTTTAGTTGCGCAAAACATGTTTGGTCGCGGAATGTGACAATTGGCGACAAAAAATTTTTGTCGTGGAATGTCACAATTGGCGACCAAACTTTTTGGTCGTTGAATGTGATAATTGGCGACCAACCTTTTTGGTCGCGAAATGTGCCAATTGGCGACTAAGATATTTGGTCGGGAAAATATCACTTTTCGTGACCAAAGTGTTTTAGCGACAAAATGGACTAGTCGCAGTAATTAAATATTTAGCGACCAAAAATTTAGTCGGCAAATCCAACTTTTCCCGACCAACCAAAATTTTGGTCGCGAATTACTTTTGCCGACCCTCAATTGGCGACTAAAGTAGCGACCAAAAAAATTGATCGCGGATAACTTTTGCCGACTAAAAATGGGCTTTTAGCGACTAATTTTTTGGTCGGCAAAAGTGTTAATTCTTGTAGTGATTAGAAATTCAAATGTTAATTTGTTTATAATTTTTTTTCCTGTCATAGAATATGTGGAACTTAAGTTTTTGGAGTGACCCATCTATCAAAATTTCTGCAGATACGTGGTGGATGGGTAAGCTAGGTAGATGGGTGGGGTGAGGCAGGGTGGTGAGGTGGCAGGATTGGTGCTTCCACATAAATTGACATGCAAATGCTGCCATAGAGGTCTGTTGTTTGGTTCTTCAACTGTTTTTTTTTTTTTTTTTAATTGTTAAATTCATTTATTTTACTGTTGCAGGCAGGTTTCTGAAATATGATTATGTTGCAAACATGTAAAACAAAAAACTTGCATGTGAGATTAGTTCGTCTGATACACATATTATCGGTGTTGAGTAAACAGAGTACATACTCAAACATATCCTCTGTTTTTTTAAATTGTTTTATATTATTAGGGTCTAAGGCAAGATATCATAAATATTCACGGAAGAGGTGATAAAAAAAAGCTTGCACTGTCAGTGGATGCCTGAACATAAAACGTTTTTTAAGCAGCATTATAAACTGTTTGGGAACAAATTAATGTGAATGGGGCTTTTGAAAGAAAGGGTGGTATATTATATTGGTGGTTGTAACAAATTGTGATAATGTTGTTCTCTTTGCCTAATCAATCTCTGTTTCTGGTTTAGTGATTTTTGTCTCAGCTGGAATGGCTTTGATGGTTTGTTCCTTGTTTGGTGTCTAGGTCTAGGTCTAGAGTGTTTAGTCTTTGTTCTCAAGTTTGTGCTATCTTGTTTGTGTCAGTTTTATCTCCTCTTTTTTCTTTGGATCTCATAAATATGTCTTGTTCTTTTCATGTTATGCAATTTCTTTTTTTGTTAGAAGAAAAAGAACAAGAAAGGCAGCTACTGATTTGTTGAGAGAAGTTTTCCAGTCACCCTAATTGGTTTTGAGTTTTTTTTTTCCAGTATTTTTTTGTTTTAGTAAACTTATTTTTATATTTTAATATATTTTTCTTTTTAAATGTACTTAATATAGATTTAGGCACACTTAAAAAGTAACATATTTGTGAAATTTTTTTTTTCCACTGAATACAACAAAAGAAAAGAAAATAATATAAAATCTGTAGATTTTCGTATTCTTTTTCAGTTTTTATTTATTTTTATTTTTTATAAATATTTTACTTTCTAATTATATTTAGATTAGGTGCACATGCATGTAAAAAGTTAAAAAATTATTGAAATATGAAAAAAATAAAAACTAAAAACTCAAAACACTTTTCAAAAGCAAAACCAAAATGTAATTATTGAAGAGTGGTAGACGATAATAATATTTTTATTTTATTGTATTTTGAAAAAATAGATGATTTATTTTCAAAAACATATTTGTCATTCATTTTTTTTTGGAAATGAAAGTAATAAAATAAAATGTTATGATTATCAAATCAATTTAATTTTTTTCATAAAAGATATACATTAAAAGTCTTTAGATCATCAAAATAAGACTCATAATATGAACTCCACAAAAAAATCTATTTACCTCACCCTGATACAAATTGCACAATATTTTAGAATCTCTAAATATTTAATAAAGTTTAAATTACTTTTCCAACAACTTTTAATTTGCAATTTTCATGTTCTTGTTTTCTTCAACTCTTGGATGTTGGTCACATGATTCTTCATCTTGAACTTGAAATCTTTTCTATTTCCAGTACTCTTGAATACACCATCTTGATAGCAATCTCCATGCTAACCTTGTGTTCTTTAATATGCTTTTTTATGTTTCTTCATTTTTCTATTCCTCTGGAATTTTTCTTTTGCTTCATATTGAGGATCAAAAATTGCTCACCCTGTATCAAAACTGAATTTCATCAATTTTGTTATTTTGAAAATAAACTTGCTCACTTGTGTTTTGCTCATCATTGTTTCATGCTTCTTGTTCAACTTCAGAAATTTTTAATTTCTTACATTTCAAATTTTCTCCAATTTTCTGTTCAAGCTTTTAATTTTGCAATTATCTTTTTCCGTTTTTCAAAATTTTCTTCATCCTCGATGTCCTTTTCAGTTTTAGCTTTACTAACATTGCTATAAAAAGTTTCTTACCAAAAAATGTCTCTTCATTAAAATCTTGTATTCAACATTCCATTATTGCTAAAGATTGCTTCCTATGATTGTTTCTGTCATATCATACTTGACTTCTTTAATATCTTCATTGCTTTTTTGTTATTTTGTTTTTTGCTTGAATTCACTCAACTTGCGGCTTTCTGGATTTGCAAAAAAAATACACTATAAATTGCATGCTATAGAATTTACGTGCGAGTTTTGATACCTGAAAAAATATAGTTAAAGAGCACAGTTTTTTCACAATATGGGATCAAAGAATTTTTTTATTTTTTTTTGTCTCCTTTCCTTTAAAAACTGATGCTTGGTAGCCACTAGTAGCTTGCTGTGCTGCCGACAGTCGATAGCAGGAGATGGTAGTCGCAGTGATCTCCGGAGAGAGATTCTTATTAAAGTAGCCTTTATTTTATTTATTTATTTATTTGTAAGGACTCTACACGGCTTCAAAGCCTAAACTGAAAACACACACACCAAAAAAAAAATAAATAAATAAAAACAACAACAACAACACTTACAAGATACACACGATAATGTGCTTATTTCTAGATGGTCACCACCACCATCATAACTTGGCTAAATCCCAGCTTAGAGCAGTGGTGACCTTTATTATTACATTGCACACAACGCAACACACCTCATTTAGAACCAGTTTACTTCAATCTGGCATCTCTGTGAGCTGAAACCGCACCTCCGGGGCAAGTCCTCGGCCGCTTGCTCCATCTTTCTCTTCTCATCTTCGCTCATCTCTCCCTCCTGCTGTTGCTTCTGCTTTATGGCCTCCCTCAAGTTCTCGCACTGGCAGTCCTGGTCCGTTTTCTCCAACTGGTTGCAGCATTCGTCGAGGCCTTGCTCGCGGCGCTTCGGGTTTGCAAATCGCTGTGCCTGCTGCGCCATGTACCTCTGGCAGTCGCGGAGCTGCTGCTGCTGCTGGAACTGCTCACGGCAGCTCTGTTGCTGGGACTCTCCTCGGGGGTTTGCCGCTGCTGTTTCCTCGTCCACGGTGGTGGTGATGGTGGTGCGGAAGGCGGAAACTTGGTCGAGGGCGATCAGGGTAAAGAGGGCTACTGCTAGGATTGCAAGCTTTGCCATTGTGAGTGATTAATTCTCTGGTGTGGTGGTGGTGGGTGAGGGAAGAGTGGTGGGGTGGTGGGGATTTATAGTAGGTTTGAGGGTTTGCATGGAGGGTACGTGGAGGATAGGTAGGGTAGGCAGATGGGTGGGGTTAGACAGGGAGGTGAGGTGCCAGGACTGGTGCTTCCACATAAACTGACATGCAAATGCTGCCACAAGAGGTATGTTGCTTGATTCTTCAGCTACTTTTGAAATTTTTAAATCCATTTATTTGTCTATTGCTACCAGGTTTTTGAGATTTGATTATGTTGCAAACATGTAAAACAAAAAACTTGCATGTGAGATGAGAGGCTTAGATTCAAATATATTCTGTTTTTTTTTTTAAATCGTTTTGTAATATTAGATTCTAAGGCTAGATATCATGAATATACATGTAAGAAATGATCAAAGCTTTCGTTAGCCGCATTACACATTACAAACTGTTTGGTAGCTAATTAATGTGAATGAGGCTTTTGAAGAAAGAGTGGTATATTGGGTTGTTGGAAGAAATTGTGATAAGGTTGTCCTCCTTGCCTAATCAATCTATGTTTCTGGTTAGTGTTAGTTGAAGTGGCTTTGATGGTTCAATAATTCTAGGAACAAGACAAATTATCCGGTTCCGATTCGTAGCTCGAATTTTCCATGGCTCGAGTGGCTCAAAATTTCAAAACGACATCGTTTTAAGATGTTTTTTGATTTTCTTACCGGTAAGATAATATTTTCCATACCATTCGAGCCATTCGAGCCTCACTTTCTCGAGCTACGGAGCATTTTCCCAAATTATCCATAATTCTATCATAAAAGTAACGGGCATGGTGTAGATTTAAAGTTTGTGTGTTGTGTGGGCCATAGATAAAAAAAGAATGAATTGTGTCCACATGTTTAAATTCTGGTTATTTTTTCTAGATATGTAGTACAATTGTGATTTGTTTGGTGACTGGGAGTGTTTTAGTCTCTGTTCTCAAGTTTTCTATAGTGTCTTGTGATGTGCTATCACGTTTTTGTCAGTTTTGTTAGATTTATTAATTTTGATAATTTATTTAATTATATTTTTAATTTATTTGGAAGAGAAAAATAGAATCAAAATTTATTATTGTGATAATGTTGTCCTCCTTGCCTAATCAATCTATGTTTCTGGTTAGTGTTAGTTGAAGTGGCTTTGATGGTTCAATAATTCTAGGAACCAAGACAAATTATCCATAATTCTATCATAAAAGTAACGGGCATGGTGTAGATTTAAAGTTTGTGTGTTGTGTGGGCCATAGATAAAAAAAGAATGAATTGTGTCCACATGTTTAAATTCTGGTTATTTTTTCTAGATATGTAGTACAATTGTTTTTTGTTTGGTGACTGGGAGTGTTTTAGTCTCTCTGTTCTCAAGTTTTCTATAGTGTCTTGTGATGTGCTATCACGTTTTTGTCAGTTTTGTTAGATTTATTAATTTTGATAATATATTTTTAATTTATTTGGAAGAGAAAAATAGAATCAAAATTTATTTTGATGATTATTTGAAAGAGAAAAATAGAATCAACATTTATTTTAATAATTTTATGTTTTAATTTATTTGAAAGAGAAAAATAGAATCAAAATTTATATTGTCCCATTATTTCTTACCTAAAACTTTTATCCTAAATGTTGTTAGAATGTATTTAATATTTGATTAAGTCAGATGTTCAAACAGCCCAAAATAAAGGTTTAAACAGTCCAGCCCAACCCAGCAGCGGGCTAAAAGGTTCAAACAGCCCAGCATAGAAATAGGCCAAAAGGTTCAAATAACCCAACACAGTAGCAGGCCAAAAGGTTCAGGTGGAAGATATTCAAATTAGTAATGATGGAGTGGAAGATATTCAAATGAATACAATGGCTCTGAACAGTTACAAATTCAAATGAATACAACGGTTATAAACGATTATAAATTCAAATGAATATAACGGCTATAAATGACTATAAGTTTCATTATATATACCATAACCTCTAATGTAAACAAGTTAAAAAAAAAATTAGAATATATTTTTTGATCTATAATCACTCACATCTATTTTCTGAAAAATTTTCTGAGAAGTGTTCTTCAATTTTGGTTTACATCCTCTTTTAGAAATTATATACTGAGACGTATAGCTTTAAGCCCATCTTTCCTGTGTGAGGTTTATAGAAAAATCAGAGTTTCATTTTTATATCTATCTTTGAGAGATAATTCTTGTAACTTTCTGTGAAAGTAAAAATACATTATTTTCAACCTTATAAGAGTGTAGTACACTCAGTATTCTTGACTTAGAAAGTCTGCGTAAAATCTGTGGAGGATTGCTCCATCTGTGAAAATGTTACTAGCACCCTGTGAAGCTAGAGTATAGTGGAAAATCTCAAGTGAAGCTTAAGGAGTGGACATAAGCCGAGTTGAAACTGAACCACTATAAATTTGTTTATCTCTTTCTCTCTCTTATCTCTTTATTTTATTTAAACGTATATTTAACATTTTCACTGTGCTAAAATCATTAACTGACATAGTTGTTAGAACACTTGTTTTAATTATTTTTATTTCATTAACTATATTTATCTATTGTGCTAATCATAATTTTTATTAAGGTATTATTACTTTTATTTGTAAAAACCTAATTCACCCCTTCTTAGGTTGTCTTTTGGGTAACAATTGGTGTAAGAGCCTAGACTCTTGTTTTAGATTTAACCATCTGAGAGTTTCGATCCATGGCAACCTTAAGTGAAGGACAAGCCACAAATAGGCCACCATTATATGACGGAAACAACTATAGTCATTGGAAGAATAAGATGACCCAATACTTACAAGCCAGTGATTATGCCATGTGGATTATTGTCACCAAAGGTCCAAAAATTCCTACCAAATTAGTAGACAATATTAGTGTACTTAAAACTGAAGATGAATGTGATGAGAGGGATCATAAATTATTGCAAGCTAATGCTAAAGCCAAACTCACCATTGTTTGTGGATTAGACTCTAAGGAATATAATAGAATTTCAAATTGTGATTCGGCAAAAATTTTTTTGGACAAACTTGAGGTAACGTATGAAGGTACAAACCAAGCGAATGAATCTCGTATTGATATACTTGTTCATAGTTATGAATTGTTTAAAATGAACTCTGATGAATTTATTTCTAGTATGTTTACTAGATTTATTGATATTGTAAACTCTTTGAAATCTCTTGGCAAAACGTATACTAACAGTGAGTTGGTGAAAAAAATTCTTAGGTGTTTACCAAAGAATTGGGAGGCCAAGGTCACGGCCATTATAGAAGCCAAAAATATCTCTACACTTGGATTGGATGAACTTATGGGTTCCTTTATGACTCATGAGATCACCATGAAAAGACATGAGGATGTTGAAAACAAAAAGAAAAGTAGAATTGCATTCAAAGCCTCATCAAATGAAGAAGAACATGAAAACACCAGTGAGGATGAAAGCTATGCCATGTTTAGTAGGAATCTCAAAAAGCACTTCAAGAAAAACAATTATAGAGGAATAAGACCTTTAAAAAAAGAGTACAACAAAGATAACAAGAAAGAGCCTATTATTTACTATGAGTGCAAAAATCCTGGACATATGAAGATGGATCGTCTAAAATTGAAGAATTATGGAAAAGACTACAAAAGAAACAAAAAGGCCATGGTAGCAGCTTGGGGAGAAAGTGAAGATGAAAGCTCATGTGATGAAATTGAAAATGAAGTAGTCAACTTATGTCTCATGGCTCTTGAAGATGAAGACTATACTCAAGATGAGATAACTACTCTTTATGAAGAACTTGAAAGTGCATTTCATGAACTACAAGATGAATTTAGAAAAGTTTGTGCCAAAAATAATGTATTGAAGAAATCTGTTGCATCTTTATCTATTAATGTAGAAGAATTATGAAAGAAAAAATTGTTTTGAAAAATGATTTTGATACTATCTCCAATAAGAAAGCTACTTTAAAAAACAATGTTGATGATTTAACAAAAACACTTGAAAATTTTGTAAAAGGTAGAGATAATCTCAACATGTTTCTTGGAAATCAAAGATGTGTTTTTGATAAAGTGGGTATTGGATATGACCCTATTAAGAAACAAAAGAATCTCAATACAATGTTTGAAAATGCACCTCTCGTGACACACCCTCATATTACTTGTCATTATTGTAGAAAAAAAGGCCATTATATATCTTATTGTCCATTCAAAAAGAATATGAACATGGGAATTAAAAAGGTTTGGATTATTAAGGAATCTAACAAAACTAACCAAATAGGACCCAAGAAATTATGGGTACCAAAAACAAACACTTAAGGGTCATCTTGTAGGTTTGCTTTAAGCCCAAATCTACAGAAAGGAAGTGGTATCTTGATAGTGGATGTTTCAGACACATGACCTGTAATAACCCGACCCTCGTACAAGTTTCCTGATATATTTTTAGTTCTTTTTTTATGCTTTTGAATGCTTATCGTGAAATTCTATGAGAAATTATGGCTAAGTAAGTGAACTCCATGTTTAAGGCATGTTTAAGGGAGTCTATCTGTTTAACAAGACAAGTATCTGTCACATTAGAATGTTTGAATCAAGAATTGGAAGCCTTAGTGGCTTAATTATCCGAAATTGACTTCATATATGTAATCAGCATAATTTTGAAGTAATATTAAGCGCTTCTGTGAAATTTCAATTTGGGGATGCTTGAAAGATTAATTTTCGTCCCTATTCAAGCTTTATATATATACATGTTTATAAGAGTCTTATTGACCTTAAGACTTAGGAACCTTCTCATAGATATATCTACTGAGAGAAGATGAGAAGAGAGAGGAATTGAAGGGCAGAGGGAGGAGATCATCAAAAAGGTTGGGAATTTGAGGAAGTTTAAGCACAAGGTATGTAGAAGGCTATCTCAATTAACTCCTATTAGGGGTGAAAACGGTTTGGTTCGGTCAATTTTTTAGTGATTTTTCCACCGAACTGATGATATCGGTTTTCTATTACAACAAACCGAAACAGACCGACCATTAATATATACCGAACCAAACCGTTAAGCACTTTGTCGGTTCGGTAAAG